CTTTTTTAAAAAAATACATATTTATTATGGGGCTGGTATAAATCTCAGTGGTACAGAGCTTGTCTAGTATGTACAGATCCCTGGTTTTGATCCCTGCTACTGAAAACAAAATTATACACACTAACAACACATACACACACACACACACACACACACAAGAAAACATTATATCGAAGCCTCATGTACCCATCTTCAACAGTTATTTTTAATCTATATCTCCATCCACTTTCCTCCCACCCCTCTAGAATATTTTGAAGCAAACCCAAATGTGCCCCTTTTCCCCATAAATATTCCAATATTGAGTTGATTTATACATTTTTCTCTAATTAAAAAATACATCATGGGGCTGGGGATGTGGCTCAAGTGATAACACGCTCACCTGGCATGCGCGGGGCGCTGGGTTCGATCCTCAGCACCACATAAAAATAAAATAAAGATGTTGTGTCCACCGAAAACTAAAAATAAATATTAAAATTTTCTCTCTCTCTCTCTCTCTCTCTCTCCCCCCCCCAAAAAAAAAAAAAACATCATGGCTAGGTGTATTGGTGCACACCTGTAATCCTAGTTTCTCAGGAGGCTGAAGCAAGATTGCAAATTGGAGGACAGCCTTGGCAACCTAGCAGGACCCTGTCTCAAAATAAAATTAAAAGGTCTGGGGGCCAGGAAGAGTAGTACACACCTATAATCCCAGCAGCTCAGGAGGCTGAGGCAGGAGGATAGGGAGTTCAAAGCCAGCCTCAGCAAAAAGTGAGGCACTAAGCAACTCAGTGAGACCCTGTCTCTAAATAAAATACAAAATAGGGCTGGGGAAATGGCTCAGTGATTGAGTGCCCCTGAGTTCAATTCCCAGAACCCCCCCAAAAAAGGGGAGGCATGGGGATGTGGCTCAGAGATAGAACAGCCCTGGGTTCAATCACTAGTACCACTAATAATAATAATAATAATAATAATAATAATAATATATGATGACTGTAGAACCTTTGGAAATTTAAGAAGCCGCATGTAAAGGACAAAACAAAAATCAACCATAACCCCACCACCCAGAGACAACCACATTTTAGTGCAGTTTATTGTTCTTTTATAGGCACATATTCATTTTTAACAAAAGCAATATCATATTGTATGTGATATTTTGGGTATTGTTTTATTTTAATTATGAAAATAATAAAACCATATTATAGAAATTTTTTTAAAAAGTGAGGAAATTACCCATATTCCCTTACCACCTAATATGAAAACTTAATATTTTAGCATATTTTCTTCCCATTTTTTTCAATTTGCATTCATACTTTTACCAAAAGTAGGATCCTACTGATTATGCACTTTTCAAGTTATGAATCTGTTCTAATTGTAAGAAAACAATGTAATCACATTGCAGAAAAATTTTTAAATGAAGAGAAAAATATCACCCATAATCCCACTACTCAATTATAATCACTGTTAACATTTTGTATATTTGCTTCCAGCATTTTTTCTATGCACATATAATTTTTACAAAAGTGGGAGCATACTGTTTAGGCAGTCTATTAACTATAAACTTATATTTACTTATAAGCATATCATATATCATGGAGAATACAGAGAAAAAAATCATTCATAACCCTACCCCTGACTGGCACTGTTATCTTTTTTTTTCTGACCATTGCCTTATATACATATTCATACGTGTTTGGAAGCATAGTGAGTATTAAATTTTGTACCCTTTGTGCCCTTTGCAATTTGGCATCATATTTATGTAACTTTGTACCCAGAATTTTTATTTAATATTTTGTTGTGAACACTTTCTCATGAATAAAAGTTGGGTTTTTGGGTTGGTTTGGGAGGTTTTTTGTTGTTGTTTTGGGGGGTTTTTTTTGGGGGGGAGGGGATACCATGGTGCTAAGAGATACTCCCTCACTGTGGACCTTTAGTCTGCTTTCCATTTATCCCTCTTATAAAAAAATTTTGCTCCAAATTTTGAGCAAAAACTTGTACTTTTTAACTTTTCTACACATATTCAGTCTACATTTCTTTATGGGCTTATCTGTAAAATGTGACCATCTTGTATTGGTCCTGAATTTACTCCTATCATATGACCCAAGGAGCCCTTGGTTCTGGAGGGTGGGATTTTGCAAACAAATTTGCAATTTCCTTTCCCTCCCTTTCCTGAGTTTATTAGACCTCCTTCATCCCTTCTCAGTCTGATTTTTAAATTACTCAGTCAGCAAGTATTATTGAACCTGAAGTGTGTGAGCTGAGGCAGGGACAGGGGCCAAAAAGGAAAAGAATCAGAAGGCACAGTACAATACCAGCATTTATTGGCCATTTACTGCACAGTTGGCACCAACCAGGCTATGCCTTTTCTTCTACTCTTTATAACAACCTCACAGAGTAGGCACCATTGTGATCCCCATTTAATGAATGGGAAAACTGAGGCTCTCAAAATGGAGCTACTTGACCTAGGACCACACAGCTAGCAAAAGGCAGAGTAGGGATTTTAAATCCAGGTCACAAACCTCTGAAACTACATTCTGGACCCCCTTCTTGCCTTCCCAGGCAGTAGGATGTGTAAAGACTTTGCAGCCAGCCTGACCCACATTCAAACACCCAGCCTCCTGGCTGTATGAACTCAGGCACTTCTCCAGAGACTGTTTCACCTTTAGTAACCCAACCTCACAGGGCTGTCCTGGGAATTAAATGAGATGATGGATGGGAACATGCCAGGCCCACTGCTGGCACACAGAAGGTTCTTGCCGGGTGACCATCCCTGTTCTCTCCTTTCTTCGTAAGCTCCAGATCAAGTTGCCAAGTTGGAGATAAGAGTTCAGTGGAGAGCTCTGAGCTCGGCTGGAGCCGAATGGGAAGTCAGTGATCCAGGGCATATTTGCCAAGAATTGCAAATGTCTCTTAAGCTCCCTCAGCCTCTGCAACTAACCTCCTCGCCCATCTCCCCAAAAAAGAAAGGGGTGGGCTTTTGTGCTCCAAAGCTGAGTGCTTAAGGTCCCTCTCTTTCCTGCTCCCCAGGAGGTAGAGAGTGGAGATGACAGGAAGTCACCAGTGGGAAGGCCCTTTCTGTCTTGTGCGCACAGAGAAGTGTGGTGGAGGGCGCTCCTTTTTCTGCCCTTCAATGGTCCGGATGGGGGAAGGGGCTGGCTGTTGAGCAACTGCTCCGGAGACACTCCAGAAGCCGAGATGAACATATGCCTCTTTCTAACAATTGGCCTGGGAGCCATCCAATAGATGGAGGGTGGATCCGCACCTCCTGGATCTGGAGCCTGCTGCTGAGTCTCCAGCCTGGCTCGGGTGTCAGAGTAAAGGGGGAGGGTAGGTCAGGGGTCGAATTAGCAACACACAATTCAAAAGCCTAAGGCTGCTCCTTCTCCATTACTTGGTTTCCACAAAAATGTTTCTTTCCACCCCAGGCAAACACCAAGAGAGTATCAGGGTGTATCTCACAGGCAAACTCAATAGGACTTTAGGGTTCCCACAGATCCCGCCTTTTATCAAAAGGAAACTGGGCATGACCCACAATCTTTGGGCAAATGCAGAAATTACATGAGGGGTGTCCTTGTCACCAGGGTTTGTGTTGGGGTGGAGTGGGGGCTGGTGGAGGCATGCTAGGCAGCTTTCAGAGCAGCGGAATGGGTTTGCCTGACATCAAGGGCACTGGCCCCAGCTTCCTCCAGATGCCAAAGGAGGACCTTGATTTGCCCCTCCATTTACTCCCCATCTTTAGGTCAGTAAGCTGGTCAGTTCATCAACAAACAGAACTTTGTTAAGAGGAGCAAAATGCAGGGCACTTGGGGATACTAAAGAAAAAAAAAAAAGACCTTGAAGTCTTCAAATCCAATTAAGAAGACAGAACGCATACATGGCAAAAATGACTTCTTGACATTCCTCACCCCTTTCCTTAACAGCAGGACTTTTTTTTAAGAGCATGTTTTAGAAACAGTGTAAACTGAGTAGTTGTTGCAAAGTGGGGGGGGGGGAGCTGGAGGAGTAATCCTGGTGGCCTTCCTGTAAGAGGTGAGGTGGGAGTTTTTTGGCCACAGGGAACATGAATTAAGATGAGAGAGAAGACCTAGGTTTCTTTCCAATAAGAATTTGTAAGTTTACATCCCAACCCATGAAAAATATGCTCCAAATGCAAAAATGTTATTCTTTCTAGATGGGAAAGGTTATATAATCATAATAAAATAACCTGCCATCGTGGGAAGGCGGGAGGAAATCTCTGCGAACCCTGGAGCAAGCTTTTCGAACCCTACTGCCTGTTCTTGGCTTTCACCTGGTCCCAAGGTCCAGCAAAGCAGCCTTTCTCAGCGTCCTATCCTGTCAGCCTCCTCCTGCCTTGGATGGCCACAAAACAGAAACCCTTGAACCCAACCCCAGTTCGGGCCTTCAAGGGAAGCCACCACTGCCACATAGGCTCCCCAAGTGTCTCTGCCTAGAATGTGACGACTTTAAGGGTACAGGACACCCCCCCCCGCGAGCGCGCCGCCAGCGTCAGCCCTTCAACGAGGGAGATGGTGCTGCCCAAAGAGGACCGAAGGCTCCGAGAAAGCCCTGAAGAAAACCAAGACCGTGTCCCACCCCGTCCCGTGTGCATCCCCCTCCTCTGGCTCTTCCTCTGAGCCCACCGTTTTCCCCGGAGCTCCCTGAAGACCCCTCTGGCCACCCGCTAGATTTAGGTCAGAAAACAGACACTAACAGCTCTCCTTCGCCTCAGTGAAATTACTAAGTGGAATTTATTGGGCAAGTCCATGCAGGGCCGTGGGGAGAGCTCACGTCCCGGGCCCAGGGCCCCGCCAGCTTTAGGAGCGCAGGCACTGAAAGGGGCATCGGGCGAGGGGAGCCCATAGCCTGGCCCCGCCAGCCCCACCTCGGGAGCTGTGGCCAGTCCCCAAGTCTACTGGACTGGCGGGGCCGCGCGTACTCAGTTCCCCAGCCGGCCCTTCGCTTTCACACGATCCGCGGTGACTGCACCAGCTCGAGCGCCTTTAAAGGGCCACACACGGCAGCCACCGCTATAAAATGTTCCCGGCGGCACAACTGCAGAAGGGGCACCGCTGAGCTGCGGAAAGGAGGTTCGCTCCGCCCGGCTGCCCTCCCACAGCCTGTCGGTGAGGGGCTGTTCCCGGCGAAGAGGAAGAGCGCCGGGGAAGGCACAGCACCCGCTCGGGCCCTCCGTGAGTATCCAGTTCAGATTTTGCCACCAACTCGCCCACGAGCCAGGACATGTGCTAATAATGCCCTAAGCCGGTTATAAAGACGTGGAAATTGGGGGGAGAAAAAAAAGGGGGTCTGTCCTTCTGGGATTCCTAGCCGAAGCCAGCTTGCTGCCGTGTGCGTGTGCGTCAGGGCTCTCCGGGCGGCAATGGGGGCTTGAGAGCCGGGTCCCCAGCGCCGGGAAGGGAACGCGGTGGCCGCCACCGCCACCGCCCCGGAGTCCGGCGCCGAAGCTGCGGGCGGGCGGGCGGGCACGGGCGCGGGCCGGGGCTGCTTGGCGCGGCACGGTACGGTGCGGCGGCGCGGCGGTGCGGGCTTTTCCCAGGCGCCCTGGGGTCGGGTGGCCACCGGCGCGGCTGCTGGCGCTGAGCACGACCGGCTCGCGGCGGCGGCGGCGGCGTGCGTGCGTGCCAAGAGGCTGGGGGCTCCTCCGTTTCGCCCGCGTCTCTCAGAGCTCCGCGCTTTCCTCTCTCCAGGGCAGGCAGCTTTGCGAAGGTAAGCCGGGCCGCCGGGTAGGACGCTGGGCTGGGCTGTGGGGACGAGGACTCCCGCGGAGCGGCTTGAGGAGCGGGCGCGAAGAGCGGGCGGTGGCCGGCGGGCCAGAAGGTTCTGGGGACTTGTTTTCTGTTTGAAAGCTGCTCTGTTAGGGGCAGAGGGGCCGCCGCCGCCGCCGTCGCCCGCCAGTCAGCCAGCGCGCGGGTTGGCTCGCCTGCGCGCCCGCCGGCCGGCCAGCGGGACCCAGCGCTCGCTTCTCTTGAGGAGACCGCAGCACCTTTTCTCCCCGCGCCCGCGCTTTCTCCGTCTGGGCTTCCACCGACTTTGCTAATCGTCCGGACCGCATCTGGACGATCCAGCTCAGGGTCTGCACAAAGCTCAGGCTTCCTTCAGGGGCTGGAGGCGAGAGGGGCTTTTCGGGCCGAGTTCTTCAGAATTGCGGGTTGGAAGTTAGCGAATTTGGGCAACTTGCTTCCACTACCCAGTCTACCTCAGCTCGCTCGCGCGCGCGCTCCCTCTGTCTCTGTCTCTCTGTCTCTCTCTCTCTCTCACACACACATACACACGCCCACACACACACACACACACGCACGCACGCACGCACACACCCCTCTCCCTATAAACGGGGGCGGCCCGGCAGCTCTCGGAGTCCCTGCGTTGAGGAGCGCTGGACTTGGAGTCAGATCGACCTGACTGCGAATCCCGGCTTCTCCACTTTCTAGCGCTGTGACCTTGGGCAAGTTACTGCACCTCTCAGAACCTCTCCCACTCTTTTCTTAGCGGGCTTATAGCACTGACCGCGGGTGGCTTGGCTGGGGGTAGGCTCAGCCTCAGTCGCGTCGGGTACTCAGCGGGCGCTCGGTAAGTGTTGGTGAGGCGCAGGAGTGGCGGCTGCTGCCGGCGCCAGAGTGCGCCCCCGCGTGCGGAAACACCGCGGGGCTCCTAAACTCGCCTCTGAGGCTGAGACCCCGCTCCCCTCCCCGCTGGTCCATGCTGTCTCTAGGATCAATTCCTGATACAGCACTTTGGGGAGCAGAAGCTTCAAGCCCTAGTGGTCTAGCTGCTCGCGCCACGGGGCAGGCACGCGCCTGGCCGCCCAGAGTTCGGGTGGCTCCATCTGGGATTCGGTGAGCCGAGCAGCCGCGCTGTCCACAAACATCCGGCCTTTAGTTTTCAGGTGGCGAAACTGACCGGTCTTGTTAGAACGCGTCCAAGTCAAGCCGCAGTGCTCTTTGGATTTTTAAATTTCTCCTGAGTGAGAAAATAGCAATCGAGATGGAGCCATCCGGTTGGTGCCATTTTAACTTTTGGGCCCCCAACAGGTTAAAGGCGACGCCCCCCTACCTTCCTTTCCCTTCTCTCTTTCTCTGCTCCCTTTCCACCTCATCTAAGCGGGAGGGGATTGCTCTCTCAAGGGACTGTCTGAACCTGTGGGCGGACGGCGGGACCGGGAACTGTGGTCGGGGCCGTGAGGCTCCAGCGGGCGAGGAGGCACTTGTTGCTCTGGGTTTCCCAGCCGCTTCTAGCAGCCGTTTCGCCGTGGTCGGCTCGCGGCTTGGGAAAGCGAAATGGAACATTTTCACGCTGCCAGGTTTTGCCTTCCAATGGGCTGAGGAGTGAAGGGGTAGGACAGAAAAGCGGGGAAGCAGGACCAGGTTGAAATGCAACTGCCTCTTGCTTGAGACGATTCAGAAAAGCTTGCTGAGCGTCTACGGAGTACAGACACAAGCTGGGGGGCTGGAGCGGGTGGCCGGGTGAGCTGAAGCGACAGATCTGAATACAGACAGGGTCCCCGCCTAGGGGAGCTCCCAGCCTGAAGGGGGAGACATGGCAAAGTGGTCTTCCCGGAGAACTGATACCAGAACAGATTTACTTTTTTTCTTGTTTTCTTCCCCACCCCACCCCCCATCTCTCTCCCTCTTTTTGTGTTATTGTCGCTGCTGTTTTTTCATCCAGGTAACGGGCGGGCGGCATAGGAGTGGGAAGGGGAAAATAGGGGCAGGGATCCCCAGAATTTTTCTTTCGACATGAATATTGCCTAATAATGAAGGACTCTTGAAGACCGCACGCGTTAAAGTCTCGTTGTCTTGTGGTCACTGGTTTGAAATATTCTAGGGCTGCCTCAGAGAAGGAGCAAAGCAGTGGTATGGGACCCAGCAACTGATTTTTTTTCCCTCGTATTTTGTTTTTATTTTTCCCCTTTCTCTATTTTCTTCTCACACCCCCCTCCCCGCACGCCTCACCCCGCGCTGTTAGTGCGAAGATGATACCGTGAGGCAGTAAAGCCGACACTTTAAAGTGTCGGAACAGATTTCCTGATGATTATTCAGATCCAGGGTGGGAAGGGTTAGAGTGGGGAGAATTCTAGCCTCTTTGGAAAGATTAGAACTCTTTTCCAAAGGTCCTCAAGATTTTTTGGACTGAGCGGCATTTATACATATGAAATTCTATATCTCTGATTGATCATGAAGAGTAGAATACATGGGATTTTTTTTCTTAAAACTAAGGGTCTAAGAAAACAACTTAAATTTTCCCAAGTTTTAAAATTTTCTGGTTTGATGATATTCTTTTGCCCTCATCCTTTTATCTTTTTGGCATTTGAGCCAGAGAGACAATTTTTCTGAAGCCATCTGAGTCATTCCAGGTATGAGGACTTAGCCAGTGGTCAAGTGAGCCATGTGGACATAGATAGGAGTGCTAGATCCTGATCCCAGAACCACTGCTTCCTGACTGGAAAGCCATTGAATCTCCGAGCTTCAGTTTCCCTTCAGGATGAATTATTCTCACATATAGATTGTGTGGCTGAGTTCAGGGTTTTGGGACAGGCGTCCTGGGAAAGCCCATTGCTATATTGGAAGGGACTTGAAACATGGAGAAAACAGAGATTTCTAGGCTTTCAGCTTTCTGGCTCCAGCTGCCTCTGAGACTCCACAGACCACCCTCATGGGCTGGTTTTCTCACAGACATGCAGAGCTTTGGAGCCCTGTGACACTTGCTTTGGGAATTTGTTCTTATTTGTGCTGCAGCCTCCACAACTTTCAAGATCGTCCTTGCCCTGAATTCTTCCCACATTCTTCCAGACTCAGTGGAGGCCTAAGCTCTCCAGCCTGGATGCTATTGGTCTATTGTCACAACATGCTACTTACTCAGGGACATTCCTGCTCCTCAGAACCAGGGACAGTGACATTCCTAACCCATAGCCCCAACTTGGGACTCTGAGATTACTTGCATGAGAAAACGTGTTACATCTTGGTGATGCGGGTAGTTGCCTCCTGGGCAGTACCTGGCTTAGTCAAGCACCTTTCCAGCCTCAGGCAAAAATTCTAGCTTGGTCTCCTCTCTGCCTAGGCAGTCTCTGGTCTTGGGTTTAAACCTGTCACCATAACCTTGTAGCTATGTAGAGTTATGCTGTTTAGGTTTTGCTAGTGCTTTCTTAGTCAGCAAAGCTTCTTGTATTTATCATTTTCTTCTCTCACTTACAGCACAACAGCTCCAGCTGGCATCACTGCCTCCCACCGATCAATCCCACTTCTGCCAAGACACTGAAATGCCAACTATGTCGAGGCCTGCACTTGATGTCAAGGGTGGCACCTCCCCTGCAAAGGAGGTAAGTTTTGCCATTTTACAGGTAGAGACACTGAGGCATGGAAAAAATGAATTGTTTGTGAGGTCATATGCCAGGCCTTCCTAGGTATAGTATCTAGTGTCCTTGAGCAGACAGGACGCAGCAGGACTTCTCTGGGGAGAATGAGAATTGCGTTTGCCTAAATATCAACTTGAACCCATGGGGGGTGTTAAAAGATGGCAAGGAAGGAACAGAAAAGAAGAATTGGAACAAGACCACTGGTTTAAAGAGATTAAAGTGAAGCAGAGAAGAGGGACAAGGTAATGACTTAAATTGGGAGGTGGAGCATCCCGGGAAGGAGATGAAAACATTCAACCCACTTAGGATGGTGGGTGGGTGCCCCAGTGTTAGAACTGAGATCTGAGCTCAATGCTCCAGAGCCATGGAAACGAAAGGATACTTGAGCTCAGAACCTAACTTACCAAAGAGTCCTCTTGATACCTCCTCATTTCTAGCCCCATATGAAGTGCATGTGGGAGCCTTCTGGGTCTGATGAATAATGAGGAACAAGCCAGGAACATGGGGTACTATGGTATGCCTTTCTCTGTCTTCTAGGATACCAACCAGGAGGTGAACTCTCTGGCCTACTCTAACCTGGGGGTGAAAGATCGCAAAGCAGTGGCCATTCTGCACTACCCTGGGGTAGCCTCAAATGGAACCAAGGCCAGTGGGGCTCCCACTAGCTCCTCTGGATCTACATCACCAATAGGGTCTCCTACTGCTAGCCCTCCCACTAAGCCCCCACCCTTCAACCTGCACCCTGCCCCTCACCTGCTGGCTAGTATGCAGCTGCAGAAACTTAATAGCCAGTATCATGGGATGGCTGCCGCCACTCCAGGCCAACCCGGGGAGGCAGGGTCTCTGCAAAACTGGGGCTTTGGGGCTCAGGGAGGAGGGACAGGATCAGTTTCTCCTTCTGCTGGTTCCCAGAGCCCTACTATCATTGATTCTGACCCAGTGGATGAGGAGGTGCTGATGTCACTGGTGGTGGAACTGGGACTGGACCGGGCCAATGAGCTTCCTGAGCTGTGGCTGGGGCAGAATGAGTTTGACTTCACTGCGGACTTTCCCTCCGGCTGCTGATGTCAATATCTCAAATGATGGAGGAATAAAGCCACCAATTGTGATGTAAATAAAAATAAACTTACTTGCAAAGAGATAGGCTGACTGAATGTGTACTTCTTAGAGGTCTAAGGGTGTGCCACGTATTCTGATGTGCTTTCAGCAATTCTGAGGGCCAAGGTGGGGTATACAACTGGGATGGAGCTGGATGAGATGGGAGGAGCAGGAAGGGCTGGAGGGTACAGTTAGCATTACCTACTGCTGCCACCACCACCACCCTTCTCTCCTTGGGATTAAGACCTCAGGAACTCTGTCCTATTCCAAATGGAATATTGGGACTGGTTAAGGGAATTCAAACATGTCTGCAGACTCCTCACCTCCAGCACATCTGTGGCCACATGGCACTAATTTCAACTCTAAAAGCCACCAATCCAATCAGACCATTAAGACTATTCTTTTGCCCTTTTGCCTATGTGTAACAGGTCCAAAGAAGAATTGTTTGACCTGGGGGGCTCAGATTTATCTGGAAAATTATGAAAGTTGCATTAAGATGGGATTCCAGGTTATACTTCTCAGAGCACAGATAAACCCTTCCCTCTAAGCCTGGAACATTCTTGAGTGTCCCCTCTAGTCTACTGTGTATGGGACAGCCTGTTTGTTTAGGCTGGCCTCTCCATTTAAAAAATACAGATCAGGCCAAAGTGGTGCTTGCCTATAATCCTAGATACTGAGGCAGGACAATTGTAAATTTGAGGTCAGCCTCAGAAACTTAGCAAGACTCCATTTCAAAAGTTAAAAACATAATAAAAGGGCTGAGGATATAGCTCAGTGGTAGATAACCCTTGGATTCAAACCCCAGTACTACAAAAAGAAAATAAAAGAAATACAGGGCTGGGGTTGTGGCTCAGTGGTAGACTGCTCACCTAGCATGTGCAAGGCCCTGGGTTCGATCCTCAGCACCACATAAAAATAAATAAAGGTATTGTGTCCAACTACAACTAAAAAATAAATATTTTTTTAAAAAAAGAAATACAGATCAGGACTGAACTTGACAGGTTCAATGTTTGGGGCTATATCCCTTGCCCTTTGATTTACTGCTGAGAGCAATGCCTTCAGAAGCATGCCAAATGGTAAGTCTGGCACTGAACTGGATCCTTACTTGTGGGGCTCCAATGCAGCTCTGACCTCATTGGACACAACCAAAAAAGTCTAGAGACTCCACTGACCACATTTCAGATTCCCAAAGATATTTTTTAATGAACATTGTGAAAAGGAATCTAATCAGCCTCTGAGGACCAGCAACAGGGTTGCCCCATAGTGAGGTCTTTTGAAGGAGCCCACTAGCAAAGGCACTTCACTAGATTTGGCACTCCCTGAGCACCTGCTTCAGATCATGCACTTTGCTAGACACTGGAACCATGCATTAGAAAAGTTTCTATCTTTGAGGGGTTCCCCCATCTCAGAAAGAGAGGCAGGCACAAACAAATTCAATAAATCAGTATTTCCCAAAATATAGCGAATGGTGCTATTCAATCTCAGAAAAGGAAATAGCTCCATCTGCCTGGGAACTCTAAGGAAGACTTTCTCGTACTCAACTAGTTTATCTGCTTTTATATTTCACAAGTAATAAATACATGATAAGATCTCCTTGTAAAAATCAAAGGGGCTGGGGGTGTTGCTCAGTGGTCGGTAGAGTGCTTGTCTAGCTTATGTGCAGCCCTGGGTTCCATCTACAGCACCTCAAAAAAAAAAAAAAAAAAAAACAGGAAAAAAAAAGTAGAAAATTTCACAGGTGAGTTTAAAGTACACTTTGACCAACTCTTTCTCAATCCTGATTGTCTTTGGTCCTTCACAGAAATAGCAACTGTTTATCTGTTCCTGGTGCATCCTTCTTGGCCTTGCTCTGCACCTTGATATGAAGATATATTTACCCAGAGCTGGGTTTTAAAGTAAGACTTGAGTCAGCCAAGGAGGGTATGTGGGGAGGGACAGCTGTTACACAGGTGCAGGTTTGTGAAAGGGGCATCAATGGCTAAAATCCAGAAGTTTTACACAAAGGCTCATTGGCCTGCTGGAGGGCACTCAAGGGAATGAGACTGGTTGAAGCTTGTACAAGGCAGAACACGCAGGGCCTTCTGGAGCAGGCCTTGATCTTTTTTTCCTTGTTTTTCTTTTTCTTTCTTTTTTTAATTGGATCTTTAAGGTAGTTGGGTTTATCCTGACTCATAGATGCATGGAAATTAATTTCACTTCAAGATTCCTCCCCGCTCCACTCCCTTTTCCTTCCTGCCCCCACTTCCTCACTTTCTCTTTCTTCTACTCTACTAGAAGGCCTTGATCTTTTTTTAAAAATTTATTAATTTTTTTTAGTCGTAGATGGACACAATGTCTTTATTTATTTATGTTTTATGTGGTGCTGAGGATCGAACCCAGGGCCTCACACATGCTAGGCAAGTGCTCTACCACTGAGCCACAACCTCAGCCCGAGAAGAGCTTGATCTTTAATACCATCAGTCCTATGGGTCATGGAGAATTTCTGGAGTATGTAGGAAAAGCAATTAATTGACCAAGTCCCATTTTTAGGATGATCCCACTGAAGATGGATGATTAGATTAAACTAAGGCTGGGAAGAGAGACCTGAGGGAGCTGGTGAGGCAGGGGCAGAAAAATGGGGAGAGAAGAAAGGAAATCTGGGAGAAGATGGGAAGTGCAGGGCAGGCTCAAGGACCTAGAGTCTATGGGGAGAACAAAAGAACAGGAAGGTGAAGGAGGGATGCTGTGGTCAGCAGGTGAGACTCATAATTGGCACAATTTAACTAGGCATGGTGGTACATGCCTATAATCTCGAGGCTGAGGCAGGACGATCACAAATTCTAGGCCAGCCTTAGCAATTTAATGAGACCCTGTCTCAAAGTTAAAAAAAAAAAAAAGGAATGAAGGATTGACACAGCTTGCACTGAAACAAGGATGGGATCTTAAGCAAAGTGGCAAGATATAAAAAGAACCAAGACTCTAAAAGACTGGAGGGTCCCAAGGTCCCTCCTCTGCTACAGCCTTCATAAAACATAATTCTGGCCAAACAACACAGGTTCCCAACATGTTACCCCTGATTTCTGTGAGCTTTGGAACCCCCAGGATGGCAGCCACACATGGGGTGGAAAGAGGCCTGAGTCAGGGGACAGACTGTCTATGAAGGCAAGGGGGTGGCTGGGAATCATGGAATTGTAGAGGTGTCAGGGGTGCAACTGGAAGGCAGGTAGTCATGAGAAATAGCCTGGGCATCCCTAGTATATTAGTCAGGGATCTCCAGAGAAAAAGAACTAATAAGATATAGACAAAGATACGTGATGGCTCATGAGATTATGAAGACCGAGGAGCCCTACAACCTATCATCTGAAATCTGGAGACCCAGGAAAGCCAGTGGTGTAATTCAGTCTGTGTCTGTGTCCCAAGGAGGGCAGAGAACAGTAATAGTACAAGTTCTAGTCTGAGTCTGGAGTCCCAAGATCCAGGAGCATCAAAGTTCAAGGGTAGGAGATGAAGGATGTACTAGCTCAGAAACAAATTCACCTTTTCACTTCCTTTTTGTTCTATTTCAGATTAGATAATGCCAATCATCCAACTGGATGATGATGAGGGCTGGTCTTCTTTGCTTAGTCCATGGATTCAAATGACAATCTCTTCTAGACACACCCTCCCAGACACACCCAGAAATGGTATTCTACCAGCTGTTTGGGTATCCCTTAGCTCATCTAAAATTAACCATCACACCTAGAGAAGGTGTATCTGAATGAAGAGGAGAGCAACGCTGCCTCCTAGTGCTGGTGGCCAAAAATATAACCAGCTGAGCAGCCTCCTCTCTAGAGGGTTTAAAGGGAGAGTTGGGTTCTGCTCAGGGGAGGATGGAGACAGCATGGAACAGTAATTGATTACTGCTGGGGAAGGAGAGGGAGCTGGGAACTCCCAGTGGGGGAAAGGCAAGCAAGTCTCAGCCATTTCCCGTTCATGCCTCCAATAACATAACTGGACACATTTACTCACTGAATTACCAGCAAATTCATTAAGGTAAGTCCAAGTGTCATCTTGGCATAGGACCTGGGAACTAGGAGGCAGGGTCCCAGGTACCTACTGGCAAGAAGCACTGCCTACTCTCTAGGAGGTTGCAGACTGGAACAGGTGAAGATGTCTAACCAAGAGCGCCTCCTAGAGTCCAAAGGCTGTACTGCTCCCAGGGACAAATTGGAGAGTTTCTGCTCTCAAAGAGTCAGGAAGACAGGTATAGCCTTGAATTGGACTTTGATGAGGCAGAGGAAGCAACTGAAGCACAAATGAAAAGATAAAATCAGGACACGGTGTAAACCAGAACAAAATTATCAGAAAATCCATGGTTTTCTCAGGGAAGTGTGGAATGCCTAGCCCCTTGACTTCCTAGAAGGCAGAAGACTGAGAGAAGGTAAGCTGGAATCAGATCCTGCAGTTATTTCTACTTTATTCCACAGGTGAGAGATCGCCCTATCATTCCATAAACACCTATTGTGCCAGGCACAACCCTAAGCACAAAGAATATGTAGTGAGTAATTGTCTTAGCTCTCATAGGCTTTTAGTTTAGCAAGGAGCTAGACAATAGTCAAATAATCATGCAGATAATTAACATTGCAAATAATGAGCTGGACACAGGGGCACATGCCTGTAATCCCAGCAACTCGTGAGGCTGATGCTGGAGGATCGCAAGTTTGAGGCTAGCTTCAGCAACTTAGCAAGACCCTCAGCAACTTAGGGAGATTGTCTCAAAATAAAATTTTTAAAAGGGCTGGGACATAGCTCAATGGTAGAGCACTTGCCTAGCACGTATAAGGTCCTGGGTTGGATCCCAAACACCACACACACACACACACACACACACACACACACAGTCTGACTGCTAGCATCATACCTAATAGAGAAAAATGAAATTAGTTCTCTCTAAGATTGAGAACAAGGCAGAGTATATGTCTATACTCTCCTCATCACTCTTATTCAACACAGCACTGAAGTTCTAGCCCCTGCAGTAACACAAGAAAAACAAGCAAGTTGATTAGAAAAATGAGACAA